GTATGTTGTAAAATATTGAATTGAATTTGATCTTGCTCCAAATAGTAATTCAATAATGTTTGTAGCAACATTATTATATTTTTTCTTTGTTATTTTAGTTAGTACCTTACGTTGCTCTTTCATTCAATTATTGTGAAAATAGTTTTGTTGATTAGTTTAATGAAAGCACCTTAATTAAGAACGTGACATTTGGTTTATTTGTTTATAAGTAGTCCTAGACATTAAGCACTCACACCGAAAGGGTAGCAATCTACTGTTGACAATTAGACGAGAGTTCGATCTATATACTTTGTCTTTGTTTCAAAATATAATATAAAAATATATAACAATTTTTCCCCTCGTTGCTAATCACTGAACAGCAACGCCATATATAAAACGAGTGTTTTTAAAAATAACATCTACGAGACACATGATGGACCTCCTATTTTTCCAAGAGGTAGTTAGATAACGTCACAGGTTCCCTCCCTCCAGCCTCCAGCCCCCACGGACCAGGGGTCGTAACCTTTACTATGCTTACGTCCTTCACCAAAACAAATCAAACACTAATCGATATCAACTGCAACAATAAAAACAAAAAAAAAACTAATCTAAATACTTACGGCGCCTAAATTTGTTAATGCCTCTTCACAAGGACCGCGTTACGACCTCGGTCCACCAGCACCAAGTGTCTTCAGAGCCACGAACAATCTCATAAATTAATCACCACTTAAAACAAAACAATTCACGTTTTATCTTTAGCATCACTCAGTTTAACACAGCATCGCAATGGTTACTTAATCATTCCACATGAAACTGTTATACCGGTTCGTACACGGCGGGAATGTGGAGGTCCCTCCGCGACTTTGTGAGGACTGAAGGTTCGGGCCTACGGGAAAATATCAAGCCTCGACCGGGATTCGAATGAAAATATACAAGTAAGGGAGAGGCGACCGACGCATGCTTACTCACTCCGAGCGTTGACTCAACTATGAGTCAGACAAGGTCGACCGTATTGCACGTGTTTCGTTCGGAAGTTCTATGCCTGGTCCGAACTTTCCCGAAGTGCTACGGAGACACACGAACGGTGGACCGCTGAAAGCTCAATGAGCAACCATAATTCATTATGAAAAGGACATTTTCCACTTTCCTTTACTTCATTCGTTTGATGTTAGGGCCAAGGGTTTCTTTGATATTTTGAGTTTGTGAGAATAGGTTTATTGAATGAATAGGAATGTGATTCTTTTCGACGCTGAGGATAAAGTGTAATCTATTGTTAGAAAAATAAATTCCGTGTGATCTCAAAAATAAGTGTCTAACGTAACGCCTACAATAGCCTTTATGTTTTATCAACTTTAAATTGTTCTACGCCTGACAAAACTTACTCGACAATTAGGTACATCTAGTATTTACTTGGACAAAACCATTAAAAATGTTGAAGTTTGCATTACACGCCTGTTCCAGAGAAGGAAAAGAGAAACTTTAGCTTTGACTCTTATTTTTTGGCTTCATACAAGTTCTCGACTTCACTCAATAAGTATGAAATTTTACATCTACCACTTATAGCTAATCAATTTGTAACTACACAAATACATATCCAATATTAGTTGTTTCCTCTTTTTCTGCATTTGTACTAAATTCGGAACTTAACTACCTATATGCACTGTTTGTTTGTGTTTGACTGCACAGTTAAGGAGGCCATACACGCTAGGTTTTGTATGATGATTTTAGCCATGCATGCATAACCGACAGGCAAGCTCTAGCGTGTATGTGACTAAATTATACAGTTTTCGGTGCATGTATATCAAAACCTAACGTGTATGTGTAGTATTCAAATTCAAATTCAAAATTCTTTATTATCTTAAGAATTACACTATCTGTCTAACATTGAGGCAGTCCCAGTAAGTTATTATACAATACTTGTGTTGGGACTGACTCGATCCTTTCTTTATTTATTTAACACTCTTAAGAATATAACCTCGAGATCTGCTAATTAAAGGAAAACAACAAAAATTAAAGTAGATATAGTAAAATAAGAAATAAAAAAGTTACAAATATAAAAAAAAACTATGGTAGAACGGTATGACATGTTAAAAGCAATTGATTTGATTTTTTTTTTTTGTGAGAGTAGATATATGAATCGATGTGCGTGTGTGTGTGTGTGTGTGAGAAAGAGAGTGAGTGAGTGAGTGAGTGAGTTTATGTATGTATGTATGAATGTATGTATGTATGTGTGTATGTATGTATGTATGTATGTATGTGTGTATGTAGTATAAAACTCGGTTATGCTTGTCGGTTATGCTTGTCGGTTTCGCATGCAAAGTTATAACCATCATGCATAACCTAGCATGTATGGCCTCCTTTAGTGCGGTGGCTGGGCAACTGGCTGCCACGCAACGTGCAGCGGATTAGATTCCCGCACGGAGCAACTCTTTGTCTGACGCACAAATTGCTGTTTCGAGTCTGGGTGTGATGTGTATGTGAACTTGTATGTTTGCAATCGCACCCGCGACACGGAAAATATCTTAGAGCGGGGCAACGTTTTTTAAATAAATAAATATTTCATTTAGAGTCTGTTGCCTAATTTTGAACTTAACGTTTTAAAACATTTCGTATGGAAAATAAAATAGGTATATTAAACTGCTCATCAGTTAGTTAAGACTAAAAGAGCCGATTTTTCCAACGCCCGATAAATGTGAGGAATAACTGAATATTGAACACAATTCTTCCATATACTAGAAACTGTCAATTTTATGCTACTGTTAAGAATACGGTAGTTGCCAGGGTAAGAACATTAAAAATCTAATTAGTCCGTCTGTTAGATAATGAAAAAATATTAGACACGTACTTTTTTATTTTTCTCGTATAAAGTTACAATACTTAAATAAAATAGAGTTAAGTTTAGCCGTGGGAGGTAGTTACGTCACAATGTGCTACATTTTGTAGCACGCTGTGACGTGATCGTCGAAAGCATTTAATTTTGTGAGAAAAGAAAAAACACCTGTCTAATGTTTTAAAATAATCTACCAGACGGACATTAAAATAAAATTTAGGAAACTACCCTATTAACTGATGATTGAAAAATCGGCCTGTAATCAGACATTATGAAACGGGTCCTTATATGAAGATTCTACGTAAAATAGCCACATGGTCCGGTAACACAAAAAGCTACTTATTTGCCACACTATAAATTATGTTGTACTTGGTTGAGGACACAACCCTCTAATGACACAGCTAATGAGGATGTCGTTAAGTTAGCCTAGTAAACAGATTGTCGGTTAATATACGAGTAGTTACTTAGTCACCTACTTAGACTGGATTAGGTGGTATGTATGTGCGTGTGTTATAATAAACAGAAAAAAAATGAAACGTACTTAAGAACAGAGGTTTTTTTTATGTTATTTACGATGTAGGTAAGTAATTAATAGGTAGGTATCCACTTTATAGATACCAAATTACGGTACCTAAATTATGATAATAAATCCTATGTAATTGTGCACCTGGCACATTTTCTAAGATTTTTCCAAAAACTAAACCTAATAGTACTTCCCTACTTATGATCCGGAAATCGAATCCGAAACACTTGGTTTAACAATAGTCATGCTAGCAAGGGATCATAGCCGGGAATCCACCGAAGTGGCGCTAGGTAACTAATTTCCACATTTGTCTTTAGTGACACTTTAAACATAGGTCTTATATATTCCTAAGGCGTTTATAGACATATGTATATGTATGTGTAAGTGTAGTGTACATATGGTGTTAAGAGGTTAATGGGAGCGAGCTAATTGCCCAACCCAGCACGACACCGACCTTCGATTTTAGGTCGTCGCTTTTTCTTAGAAATCAACCACCAAATAATGTAACTTGCCCAACCCAAGATAACAACCTAAAACATTTTGTTACTTAAGTAGTTTTCGGAGCCATAAACAATATTATAACCATCTTGAAAATTCAGAACATTATTTTCCCACCATTTTTGAAGATCTGGTGTTCTTCTGCCCCATCCAAGGACTTCAAGCCTAAAGATTTCCCGAGCGAACGGTGCGTCGCGTTTCGCGCGCGCCTCAAAGAGCCATCAGACCACCACGGATGGGGCCCAATAGGGCTGATGTCGATATGGAGCCGCGGAGAACCTAACGGGTTACCGGGGCTCCGGCTCGAAGTGCAGGAGTAGGAGAAGGTTTTGGGTCAGTAAGTTTGACACTCCCTCCCGCCTCACCCAGGCGGAAGAAGTCACTCAATGATTTTCCCCAGTTAAAAAAAAGCCTAAAGATTTTTCAATTTATGATGTGAAATATGATCAGTCATAGTCGTAACAAACGCAAACTATTTAACTTTATTATATTACCTACAACAGATCTACAAAACAAATTAATCTCTATTAGTCCAAGAGCCCGTTATGTAATACGGACTCATTCATTGTTCGTATCGTAAGTAGTCACAGTTAAAAATAGAGAAACAAATTGGACGGGACGCATTTTAATTGAGATTTTTATGCAAGACAATGTATATTTGACTACTTGAGGAGTTTAATAGTCGCTTAGTGTTTTAACTCGTCGAGTACCGGTTTTGTAGACACAATTATAGAACAATAGGTTGCGGTCACCGGTGACCGCTTGGTGTTTGACAGTTTAAGTTCATGGTAATACGATTGAATTTGCAAGAAGGTAGGTAGTGAAAAACTGAAGATTCAGCTCAGTACCTACTGTTAGAAAGTTGAGGTGCACGACTTGTAGACATCACCATAAGGTCCACAACTTGTGGACTACAAGTTATTATTATCAAATAGTACTTATATCCGCGTCCAGTTCACTCTATGTTCGGTTTTAAATAAAGATTTTTTAATAAGGAACTTATACTTAAATTAATTATTAAAACTAATAATTGTGTAGGTACCTACACCTAGTATAAACTAAAATTAAAACAGATAATAAAAATAAATAGGTAGTGAAATGGGATCATCACTTGCGTAATGATTGCCTAGTGTTAGATGTGGTTTTATGTTGGCAAGGTAAAACCATAAAAGGGAGTAAGCGAAATGAAACGACTTTAAACTAAAACCGACTTCAAAAAACCAAAAACTAATAACAAACAAAAAGTTAAAACTAAAAAGAAAAAAATGTTTGTTATTAGTTTTTTGAAGGCGGTTTTTTTAACGCAGTTTTTATTTTATTATTAATTTTATCATTTTTAGTGTAAAACTACATAACTTCGTTTTGTCACTTATAATCTACATAGGTGCAAAGTTCTAATCAATACAAATGAATCAAGCCCAAACACAAGGTAGTTACTGTACCTATACCGTTAAGGAGTTCCCTTAACAATTACACTTCTTCATCATCAGACCCTTAATGACAGTTACACTCGATCTAAGTGTAAAGTCCTCACCAATACAAATTAATAAAGCACAAACACCAGGCAGTTCATATAAACTGTTGAGGAGTTCTCTCGACTGTCTGTCAGCTCCATCATCAGGTCGACTCCAGACCCTTATCAAATTGTAGTGTTTAGAAATCCTAATTGAAAAACACAATAGACGCATTACTCGCCCCTACAATTTTCGAAAGCTCTCCTCGGTTTCCCTAGGATTCCATCATCAGACCCTGACCTCACAGACCATCTCGGGAGTATACCCTTTCAAACAAAACAAGAATTCTGGAAATCGGTTCTAAATAAACATTCAGCCGAACATAGTACCTCCTTTTTTTGAACTCGGTAAAAAGACGAAATTACACACACGCATGCTAATTCGAGGGGTAACGGACTATTTGGTTTAAGCGACATTTTGGGCGATATTGAGTTATATATATATTCGGAATCAGCGAATTTTTCTCCGTCGAATATATATAATAACTCAATATCGCCCAAAATGTCGCTTAAACCAAATAGCCCGTTACCCCTCGAATTAGTTTTAATTAATTTTAAGTAAATACCTAAGTAGTAGGTACATTGAGTCTGTATAAACAGGTAAATACAACTGTTTGATTGTATGACGCCAATGTTCAATGTTTAATTTTTCACATATTATACGGTCTCTTTAACAAACAACCATTATCAATAACATAAGACGATCCCGTAACAGATCTCGCTTTGTCACTAGCTAAGAACAATACCAAGTCAGCTATTTCTTCAGGATCTGATATCCTACCAAGAGTAGTCCAATTTTTTGTCTTATCCCAAAAACTGTCAGCTTCACTTTTGTTAACACCCAAATTTTGTACAAAGTCCGTTCGCACAGGTCCTGGGTTTACAGAGTTGACCCTTACTCCTTTTGCTGAAAACTCAAGAGCTGCCGATCTCATAAACTGATCCAGACCAGCCTTTGATGTGCAATAAGCAAAATATTCAGGGCTCATTGCATCTACTGCTGCTATACTAGATACGTTGACCACATTACCTTTTGTCTGAATCAAATGTTGAGCAGCGAGGTTTGTCAGGTGGACCACAGAGCGCAGATTTGTAGTCATGACACTGTCGAATACATCAATTGCATTTTCATCCCAAACAGCAGCTTTCCTGATGATTCCAGCATTATTCACCAAAATATCTATTTTTCCGAACTGTTTAATGGTTTGCTCTATTATTTTCTTGACGTCTTCGTTTTTAGTTACATCTGCGATCAACACAAGTACTTTACCACCGTGTTCTTCACATTTTGCAACGACTTCTTTCAGTTTTACTTGGTTCCGTGCTACTAGTGCAACATTGGCTCCTTCTTCTGCAAATTTAATTCCAACTGCAGCGCCAATGCCCGAACTTGCTCCGGTAACTATCACTACTTTATCGGCAAAACTCATTGCGAATTAATTTATTCCTTTGAATTCAACACTGAACTGGAGACAGCACTGGACGAAAGATAATGACTTTACAATTGTTTGACTGTAATTTATATACCACAACGCAATACGTTCTCATTTACCTATCTCATTTGCTTCATGTTGCTTGCATGGCATAAATTAAATGATAATAAATTCTTTCTGTAGATAATTTTACGCTTATAGTCGACGTTATTACAATGCGGTAAAGTCGAAAATCTTTAACAATGGTGCTAATTAATTAGTGCGTAGTTGAAATGTTTTTGTCAAAAAATAATATGCTAAATAGGTTCACGACTGCTTTGTTACAGCATATTTACCGATCTTTACGCTGACTAATACGGTCTAACCGATTAGTCAATATAAGAGCAGACTGCTGAAAAATAAATCATAAAATAACATTTTATGATGAGGGACATCCATAATTATGTGATTTGTTTCAGCACAAATTAAGGGCTAGCTCGACTGGAGTGATGCCGCACTACGGAATCACAGAAAACTGGCGTTAAACAACGCTTGCGTTGTGTTTCACCTTCTCAATCCCCGAATCCCTCAATTTCCTAATCCCCAAAAGGCCGGTAACGCACTTGTAATGCTTCTGGTAATTTTGGCGGTCCATGGGCGGTTCCGAGGGCTTACCATCAGCAGTTTACCGGGTTATCCCATTAAAAAAAAGAAAATATAGCTGCCTAGTCAGTTGGTCTGCTACTACTCTGCACACCTCTAGGTAATACATAGCTATTACCGATAATGCAAGCTGATGATGACTTCCTAATGGCTCTCGATTTGTCACTTTTATTTACACACCACATGCTAAGATTAGATATGTGCACAGTCTGAAACGCTGAAATAAACTTTAACAAAAATTCGACTACGCGTTTGGCGCGGTAGCTTGGCAACTGGCTGCAACGTGCAACGTGTCGCGTGTTCGGTTCCTGCACGGAACTACTTTTTGTGTGATCCACAGATTATTGTTCCTGGTCTGGGTGTCAGGTGTACGTGAACTTTGTAAACGCACCCACGACACAGGAGAAAATCGTAGTGTGTGGCAACTTTCTTTTTATTTTAATGCAATGATCGTTTAAAACTTAAATTCCTAAGATTAAATATCTACCTAATTGTAATGACTTGAAGAGCGATGGCCATAACAAATAAGTTCTATGCTTCATTAGCGATATCTACCTAGACCAATTAGCCAAAACACAAATATTCTTTCATTAGCATTAACGTCAGAATTAGTGTTAATTTTACAGTTATTAAACTGTGCGTTTCCTTTCAAACTAGCTTCTACCCGTGGCTCTTCACGTTTCCCCGTGGAATAAAAAGTAGCATGTTTTATTCCAGACGATAATATCCCTATTTTAGATTTCAACCCGGTCCCTTTAGCCGTTCTGACGTGATTGAACTCAAACTCAAACTCAAAAGCATTTATTTCAAATAAACCATAATTTGCTACTTTTGAAACGTCAACAAATATGAAATAAATAATAGTCTGTCAGTATGTCCATCAGTGAAGCTAGGCGCTCGTTCCAAAATGTCGATTCACACAATCTCACTAACGTTTAGATTTATAATATTAGTTAAAAAGATCTTTCTTTTCCTTAAGACGATTCCTTAAAAATATTAACAAATATACGGTCAAATACTCACGTCACTCAATTTTAAGTCGCACTTAGCCTTGTTTGCACTGCGCTAGTATTTTAGTCGAATAGCGAGTTTTTAATAGTTCTCTCTCGCTCCGATTTTGAGACAGAAGCGAGATAAGGCTTTTTTTAAGGGGGGAAAATCATCGAATTACTGCTCCCGCCTGGGTGAGGCGGGAGGGAGTGTCAGACTCTTACTGACTAAAAACCACCCCGTTCCTTCTCCTGCACGTCGAGCCGGAGCCCCGGTTACCCGTTAGGTTCTCCGCGACAAGCGAGATAAGGCTACTAAATACTCGTCACTCGACTAAAATACAAGCGTAAGTGCGAACAAAGCATTAAATCAAATCAATCATCAAAGTATAGTTCTGTTACTACAAATTCTTTATAAAATGATAGAGATCGCACTATATTCAAGTGCAACTTAAAATTGCCTTTCAATTTTCGAGCGACGAAGTCATAACTTTAACACGATGTTATAATCACTACAACTCAACGTAACTTGAAAACAGGGTATGAAAATTAAAAATATAATTAGTCCGTAAGTTAATAAAAAAATATTAGACACGTATTTTTTATTTTGTCGTATTATAAAACAATACTTAGATAAAATGAATCAAAGTTTAGGAGTGGGGGGCTAAAACGTCATTTCTACGTATTTAAAATGTACATAGAAGTGACGTCACGCGACATTTCAAATCAATATATCGTCGAAAGTATTCGTTTCTGTAAGTAAATAAGAAATACGTGTCTAATGATTTTAAATAATCTACCAGACGGACACTAAAATAAAATTTAGGCATCTAATCTGAAATGATCGACTAAGTATAGAGTAAAAAATAAACAATAATGAAATTGTAAATAACAATATTTATTGTTATCAGTCAGGGACAGATACAAAATTATTTTAATATACATTGGTATGGTGGTCAGCAGGTCAAAGTATACTTTCCCTTCTCTATTGCATCTTCAACTTTATTCCAGTGAAATAAAGTCGAAAATTATTTGTATAAATTTCATAGATTGGGGTAGCTTGATCTGCTGGCTACTGTACCCATTTTAATGATACACTGGCGGTGTACACCAACCATACATAAGTTTTAACGTAAGATAGGTACAAGGTATTAATTTAGGTGCTCTCTCATGCCAAGTAACACTTAATTAAGAGATTGTTTAGGAGTCTAACACCAACTTGGCTTAAAACTTAAGTATAACATAACATCACGCCTTTTATCCGCGAAGGGGACGCTGAGGTGCACATTACGGCACTGCCACTGTACATTGTAACACCCACTTTTCACTATTTATGTTACGAGTCCCATGTAATAGGGGGTGAGCCTATTACCATATACCGGGCACAATTCCAGACCCCGTGCTACTACTGAGAGTTTTTTTTTAAATCTCCTTCCTGGCAGTCGCATTTGCGACCACTCGGCCAACGAGACAGTCTAAAAATTTAAGTATAGTTGGTAAACAAATAAGATTTTCAGCATATCAGTACTAATTTGCTGGTTGGAACTTAACAATGTAATTATCATACATATAGTAATTGTATTTCAAAGAACATTCTTATTTCTGTGTCTTGTTATACAAAACTAATATTTTTAATATAATATATTGTAAGTATCTTATATAAAAATGAGATTCTTATAAATATTTATCAAATTAACTAGATCACTTACACACATTTGGACGGAAATTCTATTTTAAAAAACTCCTTAATACATACTATTCTAACTTTAGAATTTTTATAAAAAAAAAATGTATAAAATGTATTCATTGTAAATACATATTTGTTGTGTAATGGACGGAATGTTAGATTGCACTTAGAAAACAAAAAATATACAAAAAAATATAAAAATTTATCTAAGTGTAACTAGACTAAGGCACTGTTGTGACAAGGCAATAGTTTTTGTCTATCTTTATACAATAGCATTTATATACTATGTGAATACAATTAGTAAACCACATAATTCCATCCTTCATATATTTAATATTCACAATGCTTTAAACTTTAGAAATCATTTAGAAAATTGAATTTGTACTGCCAACTAACATTACTCTTCCTAAAATATATATATAAAGGTTTACCTATGCCAAAATGAATATAGTGTTCAGGTAAACTTACAGTATGTAAAACATTCTACAGTTTGATTGGCTAACGAAAACAATTGCACTGCTACTTCTGATTATAAACAACAGCTCTAAATTGTGTCATAGAATTTATAAATATCTTAGGGTCAACTCACACCATAAGATAGGTAGCAACTCGTGCCGCGACTTCTCGTGTTTTCTCGTTTATGCATTTCACGGATTTCCCGCGGCTCCGCTGGCATCCGCGCGACGTGTTCGAGTTATTCATGAGATAATAAGTAATATAGCAATGAAGATAAAGTTAAAATTCATATGACACTTAATAAGAGCTCGGCTTTGCTGGACTTCAATGTTGTTTTGGTGTGAGTTGAGCCTTATATATGATATTATATCTGTCTGTACATGATTTTAATAAAACTTTACGTTAAGGCACTAACAGTTTTGAATGATATGCTTTTGGCTATATCCAATCTGCTAAAATGTTAAAAATATAAAAAACTGCTCTAAAGTAACTTATGTAAGAACATAACAGTTCCTATGGTACTCAAAATGAGAGTGAGAGATGACGTAGTAAACGATGAACCGTTACATTCGTCCGATGAACAGTAGCATTCCTCCCAGTAGACTCCGTTCTCGTACACACCCCAGTTACATACACCAGTAACTCCTGTCACTGCTACGGATGCACAACGTCTGACAACTTGTCGCCATCTACCATCCCCTGTAAAATACAATAAGTACTCTTATTATAATTAACATTAGACAATAATAATATGATATTGATTATGTAGATCTTTTAATAGTGTTTGTTTGTTTATTTATTTATTTATAATTCATGGATAACTTACAGCTTATAAAAATGGATAAAAATAACAATAGGCGTAGGTAACACTGAGCCAAAAATTACAAGTCCTTACATCCATGATTTTGAATAAATTAATTACTTAATATGATGTGAGTACTATACAAGATTAAATTCAAAATAGGAATCTAGTTCTAAATTAGAAACAGATCTCTTAAATACTTCATCAAATTTTATTATAATGTCAGTGTTTTAGACTTTAAACTGTCAAACACCAAGCGGTCAACAGTGACCGCAACCTATTGTTGTATAATTGTGTCTACAAAACCGGTACTCGACGAGTTAATACGCATAGCAGCTATAAAATCGTGATGTGAGATAGTAAACAACCACAAATTGTTTGTTTAAATCATTTTAAGTACAGTCATACAAGAGATGAAAGAACAAATGTAAATAATGGTTGTTCCAGCATTAATGTTTTTAATTCTTAATACAAAAAGTTACACTTACAAATAAATCCTTTAGGCCCTTGCTGAGTCAGTTTCATGCAAAAAGATCCTGGCATATGAGATTCATCACTGAAGCATTCCACTGCGATGTGGCTTTCTTTATCGAATTTTTTGTACGCACCACAATTGTCTTCACCTTTACTATCCTGTGAAGATGCACATTGATAGCATCTTACAGAAAATGCTGAAATAAATGACAAAACAAAGTTTACGTCGCGTACAAAAACATTTGGTGGAAAAAATGTGTAAAAATAAATCAATATCACCACTTACCGACTGGTAAGATACACAGAAACGTTAATATAAACACTTTTAATAACATTTTCATTATATTTTATTCATATAAAAATAGAAAAATAACGAAAACCACAAAATAACGAACTGTACACACCCAACCCAAACTTTGTTTAGAGGTAACAAAAACCGGAAAATTAGGACTGTCATTTAAACGGTAATATCGGTGATTTCGAGTTCATTACAGAAGAATCAATTAAAATATTGGTGAATTTTATTTCTTTTTTCAATAAATGTAATAAAAATATTACGAGTCCTCAATTTTAATTTTATTTATAATCGTTCATTCAGGAGTGGTTTAAATTAAAACAAAGAATTACAAATGTATTTTTCAATCACTACACTTATTTCAGTTGGTTTTGTTTTTCACGTGTTTGATTGCAAAACGTAAAATACTTGGTAAGAAAGCTAAACTTGTAATAAAAACCGAAATACCTGAAAATAACCGAATTTGGATAAAAACGTCCTCGCTCTATTCAATGAAATGTCAAACTCAAACTTACCAGTCGGTGAGAATGTCAGTTTGTTGAATTGAATTGAATCGTAAATAATTTCTAAAGTACCTAACTGAAAACGCTTGAGTAAATTACGCCGATTTTCATCTTAACAGTGATAATTTTAAAAAATAATCAATATGAATACCAGTTTACGATATGTTTTGTATATCTGCATCGTCCTGAACGTAGTACCTTACGGTAAGCATTGTTTTTCATTCATAAACATGGTCACGCCCAAGCTCTATCCCAATAACACTTGTTGATAATAGTTTTCAGTATAAAATGCTGGAATTGCCGGTCGAGCAATGATCCAAAATGCGCTGATCCATTCGACAACAGTACGGTGCCAATGACAGATTGCAAACAAGAAAAGGGATTGTCTCATTTACCAGGAGTCCGGCCTTCTATGTGCCGCAAGATCAGGCAAAAAGGTTTGTACCTGTATTTGTCTATTTGATATATTAAACTTTCTTCATAAATTGTTAATATATCTGTAGGTACATGCAATGCTCATTTTTTACAATACTACTAAGTTATTATACTGATTTCCTTGCTGTTTCAAACTTTGTTATTAATACTAGAAGTTGGTATTGTGGGATATCAACTGTTATTACCTTTTAAATAAAACAAACTTATTTTGATAATATTTATTTAATTCATGTACACACAATCAGCACAGAAGACATAATATAAAATTAGAGTACATAGGTGTTACTTATTCCTGTTGGAATCTCTTCCAGTAGACCTGGATACTGGCCATATTTAGATTTATTAACTTTTAAATAATCATAGTTGAAAAAGACAATAAGTTAAAACTTAAACTAATAACAATACTTATCATTTTCAGTGAACGGCGAATGGCGCTATTTCCGAGACTGTGCATACCTGGGTGAGGTTGGAATCCAAGGAGATGAGAGATTCTGTCTCATGAGAACTGGTACCTATAACATTTTCATTGAATACTGTACATGTAACAGTAAAGATGGATGTAATTCTTCATCAATATTTAGTCCGTTACCTTTATTCTTTATCGTTTTAACTACTGGTATTCTGAAGATGTTATCTTAATTTTCGTTACATATGTATCTTTTATGGCCAGTCTCGGTAACCTATTTGATCAGTAGATTTGTCTACTGCATACAAGGCATGGGACACACACCTGTCTCTTACTGAAGTGACAAAGAAATGCCAAATGATTTGATCTTGGCATAACCATTTCGCTTAACTCGTTGAGTACCGTCATTGTAGACACAATTATAGAACAATAGGTTGCGGTCACCGGTGACTGCTTGGTGTTTGACAGTTTAGTCTACATTTTTCACTAGCTTCTGCCCGCGACTTCGTACGCGAAATCCTATTTTTTCCCGTCCCCGTTCGTGATTTTCGGTAAAAAGTAAAAAAAAAAATTTGGTCAAAAAGTATCCTATGTCGGTCTCCTGGCTCTAAGCTACCTCCATACCAATTTTCAGCCAAATCTGTTCGGCCGTTCTTGAGTTATAAGTGGTGTAACTAACACGACTTTCTTTTATATATATAGATTATTATTATGTTTTCGGCTTAGTAGTTGTTTGACTAGGAAGTCTACTAGTTTTAGGCCTACTAGAGTACTTATATTCAAAAGCAGTATTTCGCAATACGACGCGGCGAATGTCGCAGTGCTACTCGTACTACGTAAGTAAGCCGAGAACATAATAATTTAGTGTATCTCACGAAAGTTATAACTATTAATATTTCTTCATTATTTGATGGTTAATAAAGAATTAAGTATAAAATCTTCAGAGATTTTGATGGTCAGCTATTACCTATCTCTAGAAAGGTATGATGGCAGAGTATGAAAATTTAAGATCTAATTAGTCCGTCAGTTAGATAATGAATAAATGTTAGACACCAATTTTCTTATTTTGTTGTATAAGAAAATAATACTTTGAGAAAATGAATCAAAGCTTAGGAACGGGAGCTAGCTACGTCATGTGTGAGTATAAAACGTACACGAAAGTGACGTCACGCGATATTTCAAATCAATACCTATAGGTATTGCCGAAAGTATTAGTTTCCGTAAAAAAAAATCGTGTCTAATGTTTTTAAATAATAAACAGACATTAAAATAAAACTTAGTCATGTACCCTATTTTGATGTTCTATACAAAATGAGTCAAAATCCTAGGATTAAACCAATGTAGGTTATCGAGACAGGCTGCAGGTATACTTAATGATATTTTTTACAAAAATGATAGATATCTTCTGTACAGTGTTTTCCAGTTCTTTATTTTCATATTGAGTACAAATTTCTGTACTCTTGAAGTAAAAAAGCAGCTTATAAAATGAAATCCAGTGCAGCTATAAAAAAATCTATTCTAACTTTTAAGAATATAATGGGGCCTACCGTATTTGTGCTCACCACAGGGCACTGATGTGAACTTCTCGTTCTTCATCCAATAGGGTATTAGCTAGTCTCACGCCATTAGATGTTCAATATTTGACAACTGCTGTGATTGGACAAAAATTTTTTTCCACATTTGCGCCACCTGGTGGCTAAAAATAGCCCCCATTGTCTTTAGAATTCTAAGCGTCAACTTTTATTTACAAAATGTGTTACAATAATACTGTTTTGCTAAATCAAATATTTTTTTTTGAAATAGCATTTATTTGTTGTAGATCTTATTGAATATTATTTTAGTTTTATGTATTTAAATAATATTTTTGACAATTTTAAGTAAGTTTACTGAATCTCCTCTCCTCAAATAAGTAGTGTTTGTGTTTCAAGTGTAACATTTGTTGCATAGCATTCCAAAATACGTTAATATTAAAAATACCTATGTGTGTACTTGAGTATATCTATCTCTATTTCATTTATGTAGTAAATACATATTATGTAGTTAAGTTTTACCATATAAGTGCCTTATGTACAAAAATATTGTTTGTTTTCTATGTAAGTATAAATAGATTTCTAATATTTATGTAGAAATGAACCTATAGTTGCCTTATAATGCATTTCATACACAACATGTTGCATTTACTAATATTTTTACTAATACACTGAAACATATTGAATATTTTTGTAAAAAAAGTAAAATGTAATACTGTTTTACTTGGTGAAAAATAAAAAAGGTTACCTTCGACATTGAAAAAAAGGCGGACACAGTTTCTTGAAACTACGATTGTTGCACCTGGCTACTATAGACTTACAAGCAGAACATGCACACATTAACACGAAGGACATCTGTCAGTTTCTTGTCTGGTAACGGGGTAATGTAAAACACTCATTTTCAAGTGACATTATGTTGTCCGCCATTTTTTCAACGTCTTTGGTTACATAGAAGATCTGTAAACTGATCAAGATTCTATAACTTTCAAAGTGAAACCTTTTTTTAGTAGTTTAATATCCTTAGCCACAGTGGCTCCCAACTAGTGAGCACAAATAAAAGCACAAAAGTGAAGTTTTATTCAAAGCATTTATTTTAATTATGCCATTTTGAAATGTCAGTCAGTCTGTTAGAGAAATTAGGCGCTCGTGCCAAAGTATAGTTTTTTGTCAAAACTGAATCGTCACTACAATCTATTTCGGTTGCATTATTTTAAATAATTTATGTCAAGTGTTGTAAAATATATTCTAATGAAAGTTATTCAAAATTGACCTTTAACTCCCACACTAATATGTAGAAAGTTACTTAATAGTGCTTTGTATTATGTTGGCGAATAGTGAAAGTTTTTTTTTTATCACACAGCATACATGTGGGTAGACTTTGAATGGTTATAACAATTTAACTTTATGTTTATTAGCTGCAACTATCGCCAGACATAGTAAATTAATTACAATAAGTATGTAGTTTAATTACGTAACTCTACGAGCTTACTCAACTAGTTTCAAGCCATGATTGGGGCTTATAATCAAGAGCAGTGCACGAAGCATGACTTCAAATAGTCAACATACCATTATGGGCTTTAGCACCATCTCGAAGAGCTACGTGAGTTAATTGTATGTTTTAATTATATTAATCTTACGTTTATAATAGCAAAAATAAGAATGAAAATGTTTCCGTCCTCTTATAGCAATCATCAATTTGGTTGGTTATTCAAAAAGTTGTTCATACCAGCAGGTAATAAAATACATTATTCCTTGTTCGTATCAATACTTTTTATGTAATAAATAATATTTTGTATTTTATATGTATACCAATGCATGTATAAACTCTGTAAGTTGCTTACAAATAATTAGTTTTATAAGACTGAATCCCGTCCATGTAGTATGTATAATGAATCAATCTTTTTATAATGTTGGCTTGAATATACAAATTGCCTTTTGTAACATACAATATTTTGTTTTATTCAAATACTTTCTTCATCTGTATTTATTTTAAGTGTTAATAGAATGTTTAAATATCTTGAAATTCAATTGGTTAGGTATTCGGTACATTACATTTTTTTATGGAATAGGAGGCAAACGAGCTGACAGATCGCCTGATGGTAAGCAATCAGCGCCTCCCATGGATATCCGCAACACCAGAAGAGTCACAAGTGCGTTGCCGGCTTTTTAAAAAGGAATACGCCCTTTTCTTGAAGTTTTGTTTTTACATTTAAATAGGCAATTCTTTTTCGCTTTTAGTTCCTATTAATACTTAAGAATGTAATTTATTAAGTGGGGAAAATCAGCCAATGACTTCTCCCACCCGGGTGAAGCGAGAGGGAGTGTCAGACTCTTACTAACTAAAATCCACCCGTTCCTACTCCTGCACATCGAGCCGGAGCCCCGGCAACACGTTAAGTCTTCCGCGGCTCCGTACCGGCATCAGCCCTGTTGGGCCTCATCTGTTGTGGCCTGATGGCTCCTTGAGGCGCACGCGGAACGCTACGTGCCGGACGCTCTGGCCTGGTTCATGTCGGGCGGAACGTTACCCGTGCTCGCCCTCCGCAGGCCCGTGCTTACGGTGGCCGGATATCGTCTCACGATCCCCGACGCCCGGAGTGTCTTTCGCGACGGCTGGGGCGTGAGGAGTTCGTTTCCTAACGCGCTCCGCCTCCTCCTTAGCTACCATGACTGCTTCGCAGAAGGAGCAGACGGTATCCCAGTCCCCCTCATTCCGTACCATAGTCTGAACCAGAGCCGGACGCGAGAGGTCACCATCGCCGATCACATCTCTGAGGACACGGCGGTGCTCAGCCCAAGCAGGACACACCGCCACCGTATATGCTACATCGTGTCGTCCGGGCGTAATTCGGGTGAATATACTAATATACTGCACTCGGGCTAATATATTGCACTCACGGTCCCGTGCCTAAAAGTGGCCTAAGTGTTCTAGACCATAATCTACTCATGTTCTAAATTTCATCTCCATACCTTCAGTCGTTTTGACGCGAAGGAGTAATATATACACAAACAGAGACTTTCGCATTTATAATATTAGGATAACATAGAAATAATTTTATTGCATGTTTTGCTTTCTTGAAAGATCAAATGTTTGCATGCTTAAAGGTTTAGGCATTTATGACAAACATTTTATTGTTTTGAACTGAGGAAAAACCCTATCTAAGTACCTACCTACTATGTTTTCATAAAGGTTAGTAATCCGGATTCCTGATGCCACTTTGTGGTTAAGCAGTTAATGGTGATTTCTTTCCTTAACTGGAACTTTCCTGCTATTATACCTACCTACTTGCATTTGTTGTATTGAAGTGGGTATGACAGCCTTAAAGTTAGACTGGATACTAATGGATTAACTTGCCTTCTAACGGTACGGACTCGACGTTCCAACAATTAGTCGAGTTCCAGACCGGCCTTCCCATTGCGATCGCCTGCCAACCGATCACAAGCGCGTGGGTGCAACCCGCCGCGGCTGCAGAACCGCGGCCGCGCCCGCCTGTGCAGAGGGTATCCAAACAATCGCAACCGCAGCGGGCGTTAAACGCGCCGTGAAATGTGCTTTGATTTTTTAACCGATTTCAAAAAAGAAGTTTCTCAATTTTTTTACATTTTTTAGATATATAGGTATCTGTATTCTACAAAGGCTGCGGGTCCGCAACCGAAAATCGCGCCGTGAGTCAGTACCCTAAATCTTACAGATTAAGTGTCAGACAGAATAAAATCCAGATGTTTACGATAAATTTTATTTAAAACAACATTAGCATTTATTTTGTTTGGTAGGTACTTTATGTGGTCATCGTTACCTATAAATATTACATTTATTTTATTTTATTCTTTAAATCAAGGACGTTGAAAAAAAGACAGACATAATGTCACTTAGAAATGACTGAAGCACCAAAATGTTAGTGGTGTATTTATGTAATTGCAACACCTTACGGT